AGAGGGGCGGGTCTCAGTCACCGTGCGCGGAGCCGCCCCACAGGCCCAGAGACCCCCTGCGTCTCCCCATCTGTTGCAGATCACCGCGCGCGCTCCCCCCACACCCACCTGCGAGCAGCCGCAGCATCTCCCGCTCTCTCCCAGCCCCGGCCTATGCTCCGCGGTTTCAAAAGAAGGCTCCTCCCGCCCCTTCCTCGCTACGGCAACTCCCGGGAGCTCCCTCTAACTGGGTGCTTCGGGCTGGGTCTTGCGGGCACCGCCACCAGCCGCCCAACTGCAGGCGAATCTTGGTGTCGCTCGGTTCGCACCTCCGAGACGCGCGGGGCTGGGTCGGGCCGCAGGAGGAGGAGCGCGCGCTAGCATGGGCTTGCCAAGTCTCGGGCTGGGCTGCGCGGGGCTGTTGTCGCCGCCGCCGCCGACTGCTGAATACTGGAGACAAAGTGCCGAAGAGCAGCAGAGGCGGGAGCTGGCACCCGGTGACCCAAGCTCTCCCGTTCTCCCATGGCCTACGAAGTGAAGACTTAGTCCATCAGAAGCAGGGAGCTAGGTCTCAAGGGAGCCGGTGGCACCACCAAGTCACTGCTGGAGCCCTGTATGTTAGACAGAAAACCCTTTCAGATGACACGGGAGAGAAATCTCCTGGAATCGCAGGGAAGTACCCGGAACCGGGTGGGGCGTTTCAACGCTACCTAGGTTTCACTGACATTGTTGATGCCACTCCTTAGGAGTTGTTTGCACATTAAAACCAGTTGTTATCTATGCGTAGGCAAGGCGAGTTGTTATACAATAGCAACATAGGAAATACTAGACACTGTTCTGTTTCAACGAGTGACTGCAGGCAAGGCGATGTGTTACCACCATGGAAGGATTCAAAACCACAGCCAGTCTTTACCTCAACTCATATTCTGGTTGTAAATACTTGGAAGCATACCCACAATACTGAAAGGACCGTAAGTTGGCAGTCCAACCGTTAAAGCAATGGACCCCAAAGTCAAGGGTTTCACAGGGCAGCCCCAGGACCCATTTCACTTATAGGTGAGCATCAAACATCTAGACTTCAAAACTAGTCCCCATCGCAGTGAATAGCTGACCCAGGGAAGGTCCCGCGGCACATGGGAAAGTGAGTAAGCCTGTGTGCTCTGTGCCAGCAGACACCCCACCCCCTCCTCTTCTGTTTGTCCTGCGCAGCAGTAACTCAGAGCCCAGGGTAGCCAAGGAAACTTGGGTGGCAGAAACATTTCTCATTAGTGGTGGGGGAATTGGCGTGGGTCCCACAACCACCATAGGCATCTCCACCACACCACCTTGCCTCTATGCAAAAGCAGCTAGCTTCCAGAGAGCTCTTCGACTCCCAGGAGCCTCCTGCCCCTGCCAGGGAACCCGAGGCCTCCGCCTCTGAGCTCAGGCCACTAGAACACGGGGCAGCTTAGCCCCTAAGATACTGAAAGCATGCTTGTGTTATTTCAGACTCTAGTTTTTAGATAGTTGTGGGGATAGATATGCAAGCGGTAGCCACAGATTGAAGCTAGGAGTAAGGGTCAGCAGCTATTTCTGTAGGGACAACAGGAGAGGTCAGCTTTAGAGGAAACCCAACAAACAGCTGGGTGCCCAGATGTCCTGGATGCCAGAAAGAATGTGCAGCATCTGGCATCGGCTGCTTCCTGTGTGCTCAGATTGTTTCCTGGGGCTTCAGAGTGTCAGAAGTAGTAGCGTTTAGGTTGAAGGTCAGAGGTGGGGGTGACAGGGCAGTCTCATAATTTTAAGAGCTGACATACACTGACGGAAGTCTGGGCCAAGCACTGCTTGCCCAATCTAGAAGCTCCGAAATACGAGACAGAACAAGACTCAGCCCCAGATGAGAGTCCAAAGTCAGAGGGAGCTATTACACGGAAGACAAGGAAGAATCTGTTGCCTGGGGAGGTAGCATAAGTGAACCCCACTTCCAACTGGTAGAGACTGGCATGTAAGAGCCCAGGGAAGCAGGTGAGTGGTTGCCAGGGTGACGGCCAAAGTGGCCCAGACTAGGACCTGGGTGGGATGTTCCATGTCATCTCAGCAGCTTGCTCTGGGCCAGCCTGAAGCCTGGGAAGCTGCAAGCATGCCCGTCCCCCAGGTCCAGGAGAAGCAGAAGCAGGAAGGCCCAGTGCAGCCCTGACCTCAGGGAATGGACTATATATGTGCTCCTGTACCTCATGTGGGCTGCCCTAGCAGGAGCTTGGTTACTTCTGACAGGATCCTCCGAATCTTCTGGCACCGAGAACAGCATCTACACACGAGCTGACTTGTCCACCTGCCTGCCTCCCTCTGCCTCTTAGAAGAAGTTAGGAATAGAAGGGCACCTGGAAGGAGGCATGGGGGCATCTACAGCTGACTCAGTCAGCCACACTGACTGTTACAGAATCCGTTACACATTCCATTTGGTGGGAATAGATGGCAGGTGACAGTTGAAGCAAGGGAGATCACCCACCGTGAAGGGGATCAAACTTGACTTTCAAAGTGGATATGCAGGAGCTGGCAAGATGGCACAGCTGATAAAGACACTTGCTGCCATTTGATGACCTGGGTTCGATCCCTGGAACCCACACGATGGAGGAAGACTCCTGTAAGTTGTTCTTTGAGCTCTCCACAGGCACTGTTGGTGTGGCACAGGCAAACACTTACAAAAGGAAATAAATGCAAAAAAAACTTAAAGTAGTTTTAAAAAGGGGGGTACATGACGCATTGATTAGTCAACAAGCTCACTTTTTTAAAAAATATTTATTTATTATGTATACAATATTCTGTCTGTGTGTATGCCTGCAGGCCAGAAGAGGGCACCAGACCCCATTACAGATGGTTGTGAGCCTCCATGTGGTTGCTGGGAATTGAACTCAGGACCTTTGAAAGAGCAGGCAATGCTCTTAACCTCTGAGCCATCTCTCCAGCCTCACAAGCTCATTTTTTATGTAATTTTATAAACATTCTTTTTTTTTTCCTTTTAGGAAACTGATTATTTTAAAATTACCTTCCCAACAAACCCTGAGACTCTTGGATGCCATGTTACGGTTTTTCACTAAAACACTACATCGTAAATGGAAAGCCAGACAGACCTAAACAAAACCCAAGGGCAGGATCATGAGGCTACAGTATTAAAAATGGGTAAGAGAGTGTCACTTGGAAAAAGTAACCTAAAGGATGCATAACACATCATGTTGGACGGATGACAACCCTGTGCTTTTCTCCCACTGTGGGATTACCAAACCTTAGTTTTCCACAGGTGTCCACTTTCACCTGGTGGGGGAAGTTTTGACGATCTCACACCTAACTTACTATAAATAACTGGAGCCCAAAGCAACGGATGGTTAAAAGAACAAAACTACATAATTTAGTACATTAAAAATCGGACAGTGATTGTTAAATGTTTCAAAAAAACATACAGCAGGGAAAAGAACCACTTTACACAGTCTGGAGAGTGTGAAGGTGACCATGCAGAAGGTTGGACAGTGCAAGGCACACTTTTCCCGTTACAAGCTCAAAATAGAGCGCAAAGAAATCTAAAGCCTCTGTCAGAGTTACCGCGGGAGCTGGGAAAACTGACGCTTCTGTCAGAGTTACCGCGGGAGCTCAAAACTAAAGCTTCTGTCGGTTATCGCGGGATCTCGAAAGCGGCTCAGCCCCCAGACATGAAATGATCAAACTGCTTTCACAGCACATTTTCTTCAATGAACTTTCCTGACAAGTCAGCCTCATGACTGCTTCCCAGAAGTCTGACTTCTACAGAAAGAGGCTTGGATTTGGGGTTCTGTCTTGGCCAGTGTACCTGAACCTACATCAATGGACTCTACAGTCTCTTGTGCCCGTGAAACCGAAGAAAAATGGACTGCCAATTCTCCCCCTCCAGGCAAGCCGCTGCAGAGGAAGACAGTAAGCGAAGGCGCAGCTCTACAAGTGGTGCAGAGGTCAAGATGGGCACCAGTGCAAGAGCTGACTAGGCAATGCATGCATCCATCCATGCAGATGTAGGCCATGGCCCCAAGGAAAACTGAAAGCATGTATCTAATAACTGGAAACATTCCTTGCCAGTAGCTTATGAAAATATAGTCAGTACGGTAGAGCCCTTCTACAGCCAACACTGTGCAGGCCTTCCCTTACCCACCACTGCAACAGCACAGTATTAACTACTTCTCAGACATCCCAGACAAAGGTCACTTATAACAAACAAAGTCAACCATTTCTTTAAAAAAAAAAAAAGATAGTGTCCATTTTAAAAGTAGATTTTTAAAACTACTTTTAAAAAGTAGTTTTAAACTACTAAATGAACAGGACATTTTATGTATTAAACTTAACTTTGAGTCTGGACATTTTATGTATTAAACTTAACTTTGAGTCTGTCAAGAATGGTTTGTTAAAATCTGTATGTAATGTGCATATATGCTGCTGAAACAGAAAAACTTAACACAGCATCTGCACAGGAAAACGTTAGCTCCAACATGATAGCGTGGGTCTGGTTAGTACAGATCTATTGGAAAGTAAGAGGTTCTCTTGCCATCAGCTCCACCAGAGATGCGCGAGAAGGGACGCCAACCACAAGAGCCAAGTGTAAGTCGTGTTCTGATGGCCTGGAAGCCTAAGGACACCATGTTGCTCCAGTATCCTGACAGGAAGAACTGCTTAAACTCCTGGCCACAGACATCTTCCCCGGAGCTACAGCCACATTCCAGTGTACTTCCTGTTCCGAAGTCCTTTGGGTTTCCTAAGAGAATTCCTTCGATAAACATTCAAATGTGCCTGGAATTTCATATAATGTGGAGAGAAAGATGCCCCACCTCGTCAACTCACACACATGTGCGCACGAATATACACACACACACACGCATACACACACACACACACACACACACACAAAGCACAGAGGAAAAAGGGCTGACAAGGCTCCCCACATGTGGTGGTCTGAATGAAAATGACCCCCATAGGCTCATATTTTTGACTACTTGGTCCCTAGCCAGTCTGGGGAGGGTCTGGAGGTGTGGTCTTGTTGGATGATGTCACTAGGTGGGAACTTTGAGATTTCAAAAGACTCACATCATTTATGAGTTAGTGCCTCTGCCCCATGTTACGGTTTGAGATGTGAGCTCTCAGCTGTTCCTGCTTTTCTTAACCTAAATTATCCTGCCTACCTTTTGCCTCTGTGTTTTTTTCACTTACTCTGTGGCTGGTTGGGAGGCTGGGTGGCTGGCTCCTAGCATCTTCCTCCCCCATCTCATTCCTTGATCCTCTTTTTCTCCTCCTATTCTGCCTGCCAGCCCCACCTATCCTTTCTCCTGCCTTGCTGTTCAGCTCTTTATAGGCTGTTCAGCTCTTTATAGACCAATCAAGTGTTTTAGACAGGCAAAGCAACACTGCTTCACAGAGTTAAACAAATGCAACATAAAGGAATGCAACACATCTTTGCATCATTAAACCAATGTTCCACAACACAAACAAATGTAACACGTCTTAAAATAATCTACAACAGTGAACTGCCTTGGTGTGGGAGGTCCTTCTGTCTGTGTTGCTTTTATTGGTTAATAAAGGAACTGCTTTGGGCCTATAGCAGAGCTGTAGGAGAACAGAGCTAGGTGGAGAAAACTAAACAGAATGCTGGGAGGAAGAAGATGGAGTCAGAGAGATGCCATGGATCCCTGGCCAGAGGTAGACATGCTGCTACTTTACTGGTAGGCCATGACCTCGTGGTGATATACAGATTAATAGAAATGGGTTAAATTAAGAAGTAGGAGTTAGCCAATAAGAAGCTAGAGCTAATAGGCCAAGCAGTGATTTAAATAATATGGTTTCTGTGTGATTATTTAGGTTCTGGGCAGCTGTGGTGAACAAGTGGGCCCTCCTCCAACACTGCCTGAAGAAAGGCACCCCAGCTGTGGTGACAGACCAACCCCCAGATGAGCCACAGATGTGCACACACCCGCCAGGCCACACCTCCACAAGGAGTCAGCAGGGGGGAAAGCTGGGCAGTAATCAGAGGCACATTATACTTAAACGTCTGGAAAAGTTCAGAACATCCTAAATACATTGGTTTCCTAGCTATCCCAGACACTACACTTCAATTGTCCTCTTCAGACTTCACTTTCCCCATGTATGTGTGCATGCATGCTTGCTTGTGTGTGCCACACTTCTGTGTGCAGGTGTAGGCCAGAGGTTGGCATCAGGCATCGTCCTCGATTGCTCTCTTCACTGAGGCAGAATCTAGTAGAGAACTTGGCTAGTCTGTTGGCCAGCTTGCTCCAGCGATCCTGCGTCTGGGAGCACTGGCTACATGGGTGCTGGGAGTCAAACTTCAGTCCTTTTTTGCTTGCACAGCACGGGCTCTACCCACTGAGCCATCTCTCCAGCCCCATTTCTGTATTTTAATTTAAATCATCAAACTCATTGTAGCAATAAGCAGTCAAAAATCTAACCTCAACCAGCCCTGAACTTTCAGAAGGGTAAAACGTATTCGACTGCACCACTCTCGGGCAGGCTTCACTCATTGTGTTATATAGTAAATTCAATGCTAATATTTTCCCCATAGGTTGGGAGTTTAACCTGCCTCCTTAATCCCAGCTTTTTAATTTAAATTTATTTATTATGTATACACATGCCAGAAGAGGGCCCAGATCTCATTATAGACGGCAGTGAGCCACCGTGTGATTGCTGGGAATTGAACTCAGGATCTCTGAAAGTACAGCCTGTATTCTTAACCTCTGAGCCATCTCCCCAGCCCTTAGCCCCGGTTTTAAGCAGCCTCTTTAAGTCATTTCCCTCCGTGGGGCCAGGAAAATGAGCACCGGCCGTGGTGCTTTATGCAGGCACCACTACTGCAAACGGCCTCACAGCCTTCCCGACAGTCTTATCCCTCAGGAGTTGGCAAGGGCAGCTGTTAGGGAAGAGGAGAGAAGTCTGTGCTTTCTTAGGCTGCACCAGTGTGTGTGAAGACAAGGCAGCTTGCAAATGGCTTAGCCTGGGCCTGCTCGCTACAGAGTCCTGACAGTCCAGCTCTTCTGACTGCTGGACACCAAAGTCGCCAGAGCACCAGTTCCCAGGTCCCTGCTGCCTCTGTCCAGCTCCTGACACCGACAGCTACGCTACACTGGATGCCCCAAGGGTGACAAGGGTGACAAGGGGAAGGACCCAATGCAGAACTCCAATTTGGGCTCTCTCTGCCTTGTGTGCGGCTGTGGGTTTTTCTGATGACAAATGGGCTAGGCACCGATCTATGAGTATTGCAGAATATCATTAACAATCATTTCGTTGATTTTTTTTTTTTAAATCCTAGGTCTCTGGGCTATCCAGCTGCTGGTGTCTGGCCATCCAGACACTGTCCTACATGGGCTCCCTCTTGTGGCACGGACCTCAACTTAGACCAGCCATCGGCCGGCCACTCCCATAAGTTCTGCACCTCCATTGCTAAAGCACATCTTGCAGGCAGGATAGAACATAGGATGAAGGTTTGGACTAGTCCCAATCCCACCACTGGAAGCTCAATTTGTTGGCACCCAGGTTTCTTCCCCTTTGTTTGTGGCACTATGCAGGGCCGTTTTACCTCTGGCTTCCTGGCTTCTCTGCTCTTGTACCAGCCAGAGGGTTTAGCTTAGAAAGAACTTGGCCCTCTTTTGTTATGGTAATTCCACCTGCAAGCTGCTGTCTGGCCTTGGGTGCCAGACACCTGACATCCTCTTCCCCTGTTCCGATGGAAGGAGCTATTTTTCCCTTTGCCCCCTAGTATATATACCCGACTTGTGTTTAATGAAGTTGCCATTTACTCCTTGGTGAATGAGCCTGGTTTCTTTGTGTGTGTCTGTTCAACCCTTAGGATATTCATCCATTCTCGTGGACTTGATTTGGGAAAGCGCGCACCTGAATCGGGTGTGGGAATTCACAGAAAAGTGCAGCCAACACAACTTCAATGAACTAAGCTACTTAAAGTATTATAAAGTTGATCCAGAAAATAGTATATTTCCAGGAGGTTTATTTCAAAACTGTAAGATACATATATTACTTTTCATTACATGTAATAAGTAATTTTAAGCTTAAAGTATATAAAGCTTCACATTTTTAGATAAAAAAAGTTTTTTAAAATTGTAGAACATTTAAAAGCCAAATAAGTTGGATATATCTTACAACACAGGTTTACACCTTAAATATTCACATTTCAAAGGCTGTCTGGAAAGATTAAAATCTGAGTAAAGTTATTTACAAGTGGCAAGGATTACGATCTCCTTGTCTCTGGAAGAAGAGGTTAGTGGCCAGCAAACGGAGGCTAAAGTGCAGTCCACCAGCACACGCGGGGTCTGAGGCCGCCGTCTCCGGAGTGATGGCTGTGAAGGCACACGTGGGAGCAGACGGGCGGGCAGCTCAGCTGAAGAGCGAGGAGCAGCACTTGAGCACCGCGTCCCTGGGGGGAGAGATGGCAGTCATGTGCACATCCCGAGGAATCAAAGCTCTGCCGGGAATCACTTAAAATACCTGCCAGGGCTTTGACAGCATTCTTGCTAATCTTGGAAAAGGTATTTACCACAAGGGTTTGTACTAGCACCCCTGAACCATCTCCCCTGCCCTCACAATGTGGTTTTATTCAGCCATAGAGAAGCACAGAAGAATCCTGCTGTTTATTGGAAAACAAGCTGGGTTGAACTGGAGAGGTTCACTGTCCTACTCAGCTTAACTGTGAAATCAACACATTCTAGAATCATCTAGGAACTCTTAGCTGAGGGGTGCTCCCATCAGATCAGCCTGTGGCCAAGTCTCTGTGGAGATTGTTTTGATTACTGACTGACAGAGGAGGGCTCAGTCCACTGTGGACAGTTCCAGTTCCTGGGAAGAAGTCCTGAGTTTTTTAAGAAAGCTGGCTAAGCCTAAGTCCCCAAGCAAGCCAGCATCAGGAATCCTCCACCATCCCTGCTGCCTGAGTGCCTGCCCTGACTTCTATGATGAGCTGTGACCTGGACATGGAAGACAAATGAGTCCTCTCCCCTTCCTTGGGCTGATTTGGTTGACGCTTTTACAGTGTATATACTGTTAAGGACAGCCAGCTTCCCTGTCCCCTCTTCTATGTGCAATCTGGCTATTTTAGCCTTTGTTCTGGTTATTTACCAGATTACACAGATTCTATCTCTGGACATTCTCAGGTTCAGATCTGGCCAGACAGCGGCAGGGCATCGTGCTGGGGAAAGGCTGAGCAAAGTTATTTGCTGCATAGTCCAGAAAGCAGACGTTTTTACAGGAAAATGTTTATCCCTGCATTCTAAGCAACCCCAAAAGAATGTGATAAAACTTCAGCTTTCACATCTTCTCCCAGTGTCTGAACCATTACATAATGTGCTTAAAAAAAAAATCTTCCTGTTAAAAAAGGGCCACTAATAAAATTTGAAATGTATTCTTCATGCTGCCTGCTCCAATTCAGGAGCCTTAAATTCTGGGGCCATGGTCATTTTCTAGCAGCCGTGGCATCTGAAGAGCTGTGGCCTGGACACAAGAGGGCATGCGTCTCACTGACAGTTTCCCTCCACTGAAAACACTGCCGTTCTCCTAGGCCAGACCCCAAGTGACCCCAGCTCAGCGGTCACCTCTGCTCCTGCCCCTGAGCCCCCAAGTGACCCCAGCTCAGCCGTCACCTCTGCTCCTGCCGGAGCCTCCTTCCTGCAATTCACACTGCTTTGCTTTTCTCCCTTTCAAGTGTTTGTCAAAAATAATCATAATGAGAAATAGAATAAAGACAGATTTTCTTCCTAAGTATATAACTGTTCATACCAGAAATCTAATTCTGCTGGTTTTTAAATATATAAGGTGTCTTCAAATTCCACAATGACAAAGCCCTATCACACTAGAATAATTTTTTCAAAATCTATCAGGTTTAAGGCTGGAATTAAGTCATGCTTTTCTTCCCCAACTCAATCACCACCTCCTCTAGAAGAGCAGTTGGAGCCAGCAAGGTAGAATGTAGGAATATGGGCCTGCATGATTCGGCCCCATTTCTCGTACAAGGCTTCTGTGGGTCGGGACGTTTTGCTATCACACCTGATCCCAACTGGTAGAGGGTGAGCATCCTGCTCGCTGAGAACACTAACGCGAGAACACTAACGCACTGCGCCTTGACTCCCCATGATTTTCCAAAGTAGAATTGGCCTTGCTGTAGTCTCTGCCTCTTAGTTCCTTAACAGAAAGATCCAGATTCCAAAGCCTGTCGGTGTTCACATAACAGGCAGGGGCAAGTACCGCTCCACTGTGACATGTATCAGGATACTCACTTGAAGGCAGTTCATATGTCAAGCTTTTAAAAGTCTTACTTTAAATAGCTTTCTTAATGTAACAAAATCAAAGTCAATTAAAAAACTTCCTACATATTTTGTTGTTAGACAGGGTCTCAGCATGTAGCCCTCACTGGCCTGGTGCTCACTACATAGATCAGATGGGCCTTGAACTCACAAAGTGGAATTAAGGGTATGAGCCACCATGTTCAGCTATAAACACCTGTGTGGAAGTTCATTTAAACTCTTGTCCAGAAGGAGTAAGGTGAAAGGCAGAGATGCTCACCTTGCGTATGGGATGTAGGACAGGCTGTACCTGCAAGAGAGAGCCAAGCATGGTGACACTCCTTCTATACCACAGCCCCTATTCCCGCTGGCCACATCTACCACACAGCCCACTCAGCAGCAGAATACAGGACAGTGGTTTTCAAACTGTGACTCCAGTCTCAGGCAACAGAGTCAACCATTAATTGTGGGGTTCTGCTTTGTTGTGCTAGGGATGGAACCCAGGTCCTCTCCTGATGTGGGATTCCCCTCTGTATGCTGTGAATACCACTGGTTAATAAAGAAGCTGTTTTGGGCCTGTGATAGGGCAAAATAGAGCTAGGCAGGGAAAACTAAACTCAATGCTGGCAGAAAGAAGGTGGAGTCAGGGAGAAGCCATGGAGCCCCGACAGAAGACAGATGTTAGAACTTTACCCGGTAAGCCACAGCCTCATGGTAATACACAGATTAATAGACATGTGTTAAATTACTAAGAAGCTAGACCTAATGGGCCAAACAGTGATTTAATTAATACAGTTTTTGTGTGGTTATTTTGGGATTGAGCAGACGGGAACCAACAAGAGGCCTCCTACTACACTCTCCCACTGAGCTCCACACTCAACAGATGATGTTTTAGCAAATGCAGGGATGCTGATGCTGATGCTGATGCCAAAGTTTTCTGTAGAAGTTACCTTCCTGTCCTCCTGCAGACGCTAACACCTCTAAGAACTAACTACCCTCCTGTCCTCCTGCAGACGCTAACACCTCTAAGAACTAACTACCCTCCTGTCCTG